TGCGCCTGCGAATTTTCATTCTCGTCGCGTTCGTTCGCAACGAAGAACCAAGCGATTGGGAACCAGCGTGAGGTGTCTACCTATGTACATGAAAAATGTCTGTTGCCTAACGTCTTCAGCGAGCGAACGTGTGAAAAAAAAAGAATTGCCTGTAAACATGACTGTTAAATGATGTACTCTTATGTCGAGTTGTATCTGTATTAAAGTCTGCGTTAGAATCGCCAGAGAGAAGGAGGCCGAGGAAAATTACTTTAGATGATCAACTGCGCGCAAAAAGACTTCTTTATATGTACGCCTGTCGTTAGCGTTTCTTCGAATTTAACCGGGGAAGAGGCTATTTAATCTTATTTTCGGTCAGAAAGGTCTGGCCTCCTCGTTTTGCTCGTTCCACGACGTAAATTGCGTTCGCGTAAAGAAAGATACTACGCATTTTCATCCTGCGATGTTTGCGCACGAAATCAATCTCTACGAAGTATGTAAATTACACGTGTCTGCAAAAGAAAGCTGGAATAGTAACGTTCGTTGATTACGGTATCAAACTTCCTCCAACGTATACAGAGAAAACAGAGAGAATCTATGTGATCAATAATGCAGGCGAATTATAAATTATCGGTTATAAAGCATAGACTTTCTTAAATACGATTTGGGAAGAAAAGAGGAGGAAAGGAGGACAAAGAGCACAGCCATAATAAGCGTCGGCCTACACCAACTATGCATCGTCTGCGTAAATTACGCGTGAAATGACAGTTCATATATAATCTACACGTGGAATATCTGGAATGCACTGGTGCAAACAACAATAGACAACGAAGATTTCGTGTCGAATTCGTCATTGAACGATCGCTGGATAAAGAATTGCGCTATGAAGCGCGCTTTATGCTCGTATTAAGACATCAAGAAAAAGCCTTTCGAAAAATTGCTGACATCTTTTTAATTCCTAACTGACAGTTATTGCACGCGCGCGCGAAAAAGTTGAGTTTCAACTTGGTTTTTCAAGACTTTTTTTGAAGTTTTTAATAAAAAAAAAAAAAAAAAAAAAAAAAAAAAAAAAAAGTAAAACTCCGAGATAATCGCGAGTCAATGATCGAGATTCGACACGCATTCGCTTTGATTCGCAAGACGACTCGTTGTCATTGTTGCTCACGCAAAGATACGCAACGTCGCGAAACCGCTCGGACATCCGGCTGCCGTCTAACTTTGAGGCAGGAGGGCGTGATAACTCGGCGTCTCGTAGAAGCCGGCGGCAGCCTGAAGAGCGTGCAGGGAAGTCGCGTGATGCCGATGTATCGTGCTCGCGTATACACTGGAGACGCCGGCCGCGGCGGAGACGCCGTTGGAAGCACCAAAGATGGATGAGGACGAGGAGGAAGAGGACGATGAGGAGGATGCCTGCTGACCAATATGCGTGGCTGTCCGCGATAGCAACGTCACCGACGGTCGTCTGTAGGGATGATGGGCGACCGCCGAAATCGCTGATGTGCCGGCGCGATGATGGCTGCCCGAGCTCGAGCTCGTGGCCGCGATATTGCTGTACGCCTGCTGATAAGACTGCCGTAGAATACCGGAAATCGACGCGGACGTCAGAGACGTGACCGACGACGAAGAGGAGGAACTTCGGTCGCTTTGGTGAGATTGATGATGGAGCTGATGAGTGGTAGTGGTACGATGTTGCTGCTGTTGCTGCTGCTGCTGTTGTTGCTGGCGATGCTGGTGATTGTGGGCGCGCATGGCGCGGAAGTAATGTTGATAAATACCTGATATGACTGCCTTCTCATCGGCAGAGATGAGGTCGGCGGTACCGGAAGCCGTTGGTGTCACGGGTCGTTGTTGCGGTTGCTGCTGGGTATGATGCTGCTGTTGCTGTTGCTGCTGATGGTGAGCGTGAGTGTGATTCCTGTGGTGATGGTGATGATGATGATGACTCGGTTGTTGCTGCTGCTGCTGCTGCTGCTGCTGCTGCTGGGAATGATGTCGTCGCTGAGATTGCTGCGGTTGCTGCTGCTGAGACAACGTGGCCGCAACATTGAGCGCCGCACGATACGAGGCAGCCATAGTGACGGCGGACATCTGACCGCTCGTGGATATGAGACCGCTACCGGAATCTGTGGCGGCTACCACCGCCGCAGCGACCGAGGACGATGCGATGGACGTCGCCGGTGATACGACGGAGGTAGATACGACATTGGAGGAAACGACAATGTTGTTCGACGGTGGTATGACCGTCGTTGTCGTCGAGGAAGCCGCCGCGACCGCGACCGCCGTAGCCGCGGTGGCGACCGTCACGGCGCCGACGCCGGTGGACGCGGATGCCGTCGCGGCGCTCCTGCGACCATTCCTGCGGGAGGCGGACATAGGCGCCGTCGCCGGCGCCGCCGGCGGCGGCAGATTATTGACAAAGGGGCTCCTCCTCTCGCGCTCGGCGCGTCGATAGTAGCACGGATGGATCATTAGGAGGGGTTCGCCGCCACCGGGCGGCGGCTTCGCTTGGCTCGGTAGCTCGTACTCGACGCTGCAGTCCACGTGGAGCGGTTGCGAGTAGTCCTTGTATTCTTGCACCTTGTAGCTGTTGATCGCCACGGCGGCGGCCGCGGCGGTGGCGGTGGCCGCGGCGGCGGCGGCTGCGGCCGCGGCCGCGGTTGCTGCCGCGCTCGTCGTCACCGTGTTGGCGTTGACGGTGTTGTTAACGGCGTT